GGGTGTTCAAATTAATAGGGAGATTCGAAGCTGCAGATGGAAAGACATTGGAGTCTCCAGTGGTGCAGAATGAAGGAGCAGGCTGGGCAAGGAGGGCATGCTCCTTCCACTTCAACAAAAATCCAAACAAACAAATATTTTGGTATTTTTACAGTAATCATTCAGTTCTTAATTTCTAATTAAATTTCACTATGGTCTGAAATCCAATAAATAAAATGGTCTGTTTAAGAAAATAAATATGAGGCCAGTACGCTATATTTTCTATTGCTTCAAAAGAAATTTTTTTAAATTAGTTTTTCTAATAATAACTTTTCTAATAAAATAGCTTGACTTTTATGTGTGGGTTTCACTTCAGACAAACACATGAAACCCAAAGAAAATGGGTTTGCAGATTGGATTGCCCTCTAAGTGGCATGTTTTCAGCATACAATTTCCAACCAGGAAGGGAATGAGAAAAAGTGTGTAAATTCTTCACTAAGACTAGAATATTGTGCATATTCTAACAGATTAGAATATTGTGTCCAAAGGGCCCCAGCAAAGTCTGACTAGATCCCAGGTCATTTAAGTGCCCCCTCCACTGCACAGGTTTTTAAATGTTGCTTCCAATCTTTGCCTCAACCAGGACACCACCATTTACTCTTGCTCACTAAGGTGTATCTGAGAGTGAGGATAGGCTTGAGGTGATGCAGTGTGAGACTGTAGCTGTGAAAAACACTTCTTGATCCCTCGCCAAACTGAGACAGGCGTGTCCCTGTAAGGAAACATCAGTGTCAGACAATCGTTGTCAACAGGCTGGGCTCTGGTGTTCCCAAGTGACCTCCTCACCCGTGAGTCTGAGGATACACTGGAGTTCACTCGTCTGCAGTCTCTCCCTCAACTGTATATTCAGCTGTCAGCAGACACTTGAGGCCTGTTCTGACCCCACCCTAAGGATGGTATGCATCTCTTAATAATTTGTAGATGACAGCAGGGAGTTTTTGTAGTTGATCCATAGCAAAGGTTATAATTTTATAGAGTCTAAAGAAAAGAATCTTTTTACTCGTATACAAATCATTTGGGTATATCTCTAAGTTCATCAAGAGATTAAATACCTCTTGGATAATATTAAAGGATTATCGCTTGTTCTTAGGTGTGAAAACATATGCAGTTGCAATGTGTAATTTTGTACAATGCCCTTATTTTTCAGAAATACCTGTTAAAGTATTTAGTAGCAAAATTCATGATAACTTTCATGCATTACATCCTTTCAAAAGTTAGCAAAAGCATATGCACACAAAGGTCATATGGAAAAACGAAAAATCAAGTGAGTCTAAAAGGCAAATGCACTTACTTTGAAAAATTTCACAATAAAATATAGATAAAAAAACTCAAAAATAAACCAATTCCCCAAATTAATATATTCAATAAAATCCTGGGAATCATTATCATATTGAGCTTAGAATAAGTATTTTTGCATTAGCTGTATCTAGTGTAGGTTAGACTCTGCCACTTCTGTGACATTGAAAAAGTGAATTGCCTTGTTTACAAGTGTAATTAAAATAATGCCAACAATGATATTTTAACATTGATCATAAATGGCAGCCTTATTAAACTACTGCTTCAATTTGATTTCTAAAAAATCTAATACTCAATACTTTGGGGCCATTTTTAAAGATCCAGAGATGTCATTATTTCCAGAAAGACATGGGGACTGATTAACATCTTCCTAAGGATCCAACATTGTTTATTTGATTCCTCTCCAACTGTGGTCTTAATTGAATTTCAGTCTAAGAAACATGCTTCAGTAGTATCTGAGAAATAAAGATTACAAAGAAAGGCCCTGAGATATATAAGTAAGACATGACTGTGTAATTCAATGTTACCATAGAATTGCATTTCTAATTTTCATGAGCCATTTCTTTGGAAGCTGTGGGTGCTGCCCACAGTGTGCAATATCTGTCATGTTTAGTTTGAGCAGAAGAGTGAGTTCTAAGGAAGGGACACACTAATTCACAGGGATACCCACAAGAGGGCTAGTTTTGGGGGTCGAAGATATTAACTGTTTAGGCGCTCATACTCTGAGCTGAAATTGAATCATTATTTGAAATTTGGAGCTGAATATGGAAGAAATGTTCTGAATATATGACTGAATAAGGCTTTACCAAAGGTTTGGTTAGAAGTGTGGACTCAACCAGATTGACGGAGCCAGACTCTGGCAAATTAAATGTCAACACTTCCAGTTCTTCTTGGCAAATGTTAATATCCTGATGTCATACAGCAATGATGTAAGCCAGAAAGAGTGTTATTTTGCAATAGAGAGATTCTGGTAACCCTTCCCATGAGTGTGGGCTGCAGGATATCAATATTTATATCACACCACAGAGAATGTGTGATATTTTGTAATTCAGAGAAGTCAAATGGCTTACTCATGGTCTCCTGCAGAGAAGAATTGTCCTTCCGGTCAATATCCAGAAGTCATGTTTTCAGTTACATTTACTGAGTGGAAATCTTGATTTCACAAAAATAGACATTTCATAACTTAAGGATTATTCTGTATTGTTTCAGCAAATACTAAAAGATAAACTATGCAAATATGATTTTACAAATCATAATTTGGGGGGAAATACTATTTTGCAATCCCTTTTTTGTACATTAACTGGGTCAAGTATTAAGATGAAATTTTGAGATTTGTTTCCACCCCCAATCATGGTCGTAATGCTAACTAATGAAGTATTTGTGAAAATTGATGATCTAATAATATATTAAAGAATTGAAAGATGGACCCAGGAAAGAGACAAAGGAGTAAACTGAGGAACCCCTTGCCTTGGTTTAATATAGTCAAAGATGCCAGAAATGTATTCACTTTTATTTCTTTAATGACTCATTAAAAAGACAACTAAAAATGTAGTTCTATTACAAGTGTTCACTGGTAGATTCTTTTTCAGAGTTTTGATATATATAGGTAGAAAAAATTGTAGAACATCTTGCATTTATACATTTTCCCTCTTAAGTCCCCCTATCATGTAAATATCGCTAGAATGGACTCTAGGAATTATGGGATCACAAGATTATGTAACATCATAAACAGGTGACTTCTCACAAGCAACACTCCAAATTTCTATAGTTGCAATGGGTGGATTTTACACTGTTAATGCTACTGTTTCATGAGTGAAAATATTTTAATCTCTACTGAGTCTTGTTTTGGTTAATTTTTTCATTTGTCAGTCAATATAGAAGTTTCAATGATCTCTCTAGTGTTCTAATTTCAATTATACTGTCTTCATGGGTTAGAAGTTTTTGACTTTTTAGGTTATCACCTTCCCAGACTCTACCATGAATTAATTCCCTTTCCTTTCATAAGGAGGCAGTCCTTAATTAAGCTTTATTGTTTCTTCTTGGACTCTCCCCAGCTTTTTAACACCTTTTTGAAATGCTCAGGAAGAGCACAGCTTTCTAGGTGCGGTTGCTGGAGTCACAGGGAGGAACCTTCACCTCCCCACTCTTTGGAATGATGTAACCTTTCTATAGTGTGTGAGGGAGGAAAAGCAGAAAGTGCTGACATGCAATTCATCTGCATGAAAGTTCTTCTGAAGGAAAAACCAGGCAAGTTAAATACCTTCTACTCAAAGGAAAGGAAAATGTAAAGTTCTGTTTAGAACTAAATTAAAAGTCATAACTTAAATAAGAGGTTTATTACTAGATGACCATTGTAAGACCATGCAAGTTTGATCTTCTTTTAACCAACCTCATGGCCTAAATAGTTTTTCTTATCCTCATCACAATGAAAATAAAAAGTACATGATTTTGGTTTGAAGCTAAACAAAATGGTAGATATTACTTTTTAATTTCACCTTTACTTCCTTAAAGGTGTCCAGTGGTGTATTTTGGGATTAGTGGTGGGGTTGGGATTCAGAGGTATGGCTGAAGGTAATCCCATTTGCAGTGCAGATATGGAAAAATTTCTCACTTTTCTTGTTGACAGATTTTAGTATTAGATAGGCCTTGTAGAAATTACATCATAGCTCAAAGAAATTAAGGGAACTGTATTAAGACTATTGAAATTACATAAAAAAAAAACATGATTCAAGAAGGAGGACCTTAATTCCCAAGTAGTTATTACTACCATTGTTCAGTTTTCACTCTGTGCAAATTTGCTCTCAAGTATTCAGAAATGGTAATAGAAAGTTTCCATATGCTGCTGATTGTTGAAAAAATTTCTTTTTCCAGTTTCTTTGTTCAGTGTCATTTCAGAACCAGTGGAAGATTGTTAGTAGAACTCTAAGATGTTGGTCCAAATGCCTAGTCACCAGGTAATTCCATTAACATTAAGAGGAAGACATGAACATAAACAGCAGGGGGCCAGTAGGTCCAATATGAAGGTTTATAATCCGTGAAGAAACAGAAATGTTTTGCCCACTCCAGGCTTGAAATGTGGAAAGCTTTCAGTCACCAGAAACTCTTTAGCTTATTCCATATTTCACAGATAAAAGTCATACAGTATTGTGATAACTTAGACACGATTTATGCTTGAGTAGTCTGTTTGTTTTTTTCTCTTAGACTTCAGATGCATATTTGGTTCACTGAAGGTGCCATAGTACTGATGCCATCCTCATATTTGATAGCACATTCTTTTAGACATCACAGAAGCAGCATTTTGGGGTTGAGGTCTATGATGCTCTGGTCCACAATGCCAGCAGCGAGCACATGAAGAACCCAAGCTTGGCATTGCCTTGGCTTGCTGAAAGGTTGATAATTGTTCCCATAAAAATTCATCTCTGGTCAGAAGCATGAAACTCTTTGTAGTGAGAACAATGACTGCACAATAGCAATAAACCCAAAGTAGGACTGAGAGTTTGTCTCCTGTCACTGTGGCTTGTTCACTTGTCTCCCATAGCACTTTCAGAATGCCAAAGTCTAAAAATCAGTGTTGGGTTTCATTCCTTCATTTCATCATGACCCCAGCCTTTATTATATGCAGGTCAGTTAGCTTGTGACGTTTTGTTCATTCATTAGAAGATTTCAATTTGGGGCACACTGATTGTTACAAAGGCTGTATGAAGATTTCTTACAAAAGTCTCACAATGGTCTTCCTCCAGAACAAATGTTGTAAGGTGACTTCAACTTTAGACACCTAAAACAGAGCAGTGATTTCCATATAAATTTGACTGGTGTTGTGTTTGTTTAGCGTATTGAATATTATATAAAAGCTCTGTTTTTGGAGCTTCTCATGGTGCCCCTCCTTCTCACCCTCAGGTGGGTCCACTTTCTAGCAGCTGTGGGTACTAACAGACTCACAGCAGCATCCTTCACCACAATCGAGCCCTTGGGTAACAGGGCACTTTGCCTGAAGATTCCTAGGAGATCCCAAGACCCTACTAAACCCAAGATCCTTCACCTTTTTGGGATAACTCTGCAGTGCCATTCATAGACCGCTCCGTGGAATTAAGTTGAAGCTAGACTTCTGCTAAAGCCCCTTTGTTTATCTTCTTCCTCTGCCCTAGCTTTCCTCATTTCACCACAGGTTTCACTTTAGAGCACTCCCTTAGCCAACACTGCACAAGAATCCTCAGTTTAGATTTTGTTTCCAGGAACCTGACCTCAGCTAGCTGTATTGTTAATGTTAAAAGGTCTTTTATCCTGGCCCTCCCTGGTGGCGCAGCGGGTTAAAGCACAGCACTGAGAAGCTGAAGCCACTTCCGCATGAGTTCGATTCCCGCTGGCCCCGGAGGTGACCACATGGTGTGGCAGACCTCTCCTGACCC